AAGTTTTTATCTGACTTTCACATTTCTCTATGATTTGCTTTTTCTGAAATATCTTTATTTCACTTCTGCCTTTATATGATGTTTTCATTCAGTATAAAATTCTACGTTGATAGCTGTTTTCTTTCAGCACTTTGAAGATGTTAATTCCATTGTCACTGGGCTTCCATGGTTCTGTTGCAAAGTCAGGTGTAAGTCCTTTAGTTTCTCCTTTATATGTCGAGCTTCTATTCTCTTTGTCTCTGGTTTTCAGCAGGTTTAGTATGTAACCACTTGTTTTTTTAATCTATTCTGATTGAGGTTGATAGTATATTTGTAATCTGTGTTTTGTACCTTTGATCTTTTTTTTTTTTTTTTTTTTTTGAGACAGAGTCTTGCTCTGTTGCCCATGCTGGAGTGCAATGGCGTGATCTCAGCTCACTGCAACTTGCGTCTCCTGGGTTCAAGCAATTACAGGTGCCTGCCACCACGTCCAGCTAGTTTTTTGTATTTTTAGTAGAGATGGGGTTTCACCATATTGGCCAGGCTGGTCTTGAACTCCTGACCTCAGGTCATCCACCCACCTCGGCCTCCCAAAATGCTGGGATTACACTGCATCCAGCCTGAATATTTTCTTCTGACTTGTCTTTCAGTTCATTAATCATCTCTTTCACTGTGTCTAATCTGTTTCAAACCCATCCATTGAATTTATAACTTCAGCTATCGTATTTTTTATTTTAAAATTTCCATTAAATTCTTTTTTATACACCCCACTTCTCTGCTGAACATTTCCATCTCATAATCTATTTTCTTGAACATGTTAATCACATTACCTTAAAGTCTATGTATGATAATGTCAATATCCTGTTAACATAATAATCCCATGGGATTATTCCTACTATATTTTTATATATATATATATATATAAATATATATATATATAGGTTCTGGATTATTTGTCTCCTGCTTTTCTTTGTAAACTTTAAATCTGGATATTGTATATGGAAATATTTTAGTTAATTTGAGGCCCTGGATGATGCTATTTTCCTCTGCATATTTCCTTTTGCTTCAGGCTGGCTGTGGGAAAGACGGCAGATCAGCTTGGTCTGGGATTGAGCCCTTTGGAAGCTTGGTTTCAGACTTTGAGAGGGAGGATCTACTCACCCCTCAGCCTTCCTCCCCTATTGCAGCCCTCAGTGCTTTCAGCTGAAGGTCTGGGTCACTCATCAGAGTCTCCCTATCTTGTGGGCTGTCAGCAGTTATTGTCTCCCCAACCCTAGGAGATGCAAAAGCTCTGCTCAGTGTGTCAACTTCTTTCCACTGCATATGTGAGACTGAATTGTGTCCCCCCAGCATTCACATGTTGAAGCCCTGACCTCCAATGTGATTTCATTTGGAGACAGGACCCTTAAAGAGGTGATTAAGGTTAACTGAGGTGATAAGAGTGGGGCCCTAATCCCAGAGGACTGGTGTCCTTGTGAAAGGAAGAAGATACACCAGAGATCTCTCCCTCTCTGCACACACAGTGGAAAGGCCATTGTGAGAACATGCCAAGTTGGTGGCATACAAGCTGGGAGGAGAAGCTTCACAACACCAACCCTGATGGCTCACTGATTTTGGGCTTCCAGTCTCTAAAACTGTCTGGAGGCTGGGAAATAACTATCCATGGTTTAAGCGGCCCAGTCTGTATTATTATTAATATTATTTTTTTGAGATGGAGTTTCACTCTTGTTGCCCAGGCTGGAGTGCAATGGTGTGATCTCAGTTCACCACAACCTCCACCTCCCAAGTTCAAGCGATTCTCCTGCCTCAGCCTCCCGAGTAGCTGGGATTACAGGCATGCACCACCACGCCTGGCTGATTTTGTAATTTTAGTAGAGATGGGGTTTCTCCACGTTGTTCAGGCTGGTCTCGAACTCCCAACCTCAGGTGATCTGCCTGGCTCAGCCTCTCAAAGTGCTGGGATGACAGGAGTGAGCCACCGCATCTGGCCCCAAGTCTGTATTTTTTTATGGAAGTCTAGGCTAGTACAGGATACTAATCACCAAGTGCCTCAAAGGAAAAAAACACTTCCCTTTTTTTTTGAGGTGGAGGAAGGTCTTTGCCCCTCACAGAAAGACTTTTGGTAGCTGATAGCCTTAAACAGATTTAAAAAATATTTTATACTGATTTTTGGGCTATTTTTGTTGGGTTTGTCTGAGGCAACCAGTCCTCCCTAACTGTAAGCAGCAATGTCTCTGAACGCCTCAGGGATTTCTCCTCACATGCCACGCATCTGTGTCTGTCTTATCTCACTCAGTCATTTGATACTCAGGGGCCCTTTCCATTTATGGAGTCAAATATTTCTTTAGTTCAGATAAATTTCTTATTTTTATTTTTTCTTTGAGATAGGGTCTTGCCCTGTCACCCAGGCTGGAGTGCAGTGGTACGACCTTGGCTCACTGCAGCTTCTGCCTCCTGAGTTCAAGCTGATTCTCCAGCCTCAGCCTCCCAAGGAGCTGGAATTATAGGCACGCACAACCACACCCGGCTAATTTTTGTATTTTTAGTAGAGACAGGGTTTCACCATGTTGACCAGGCTGGTCTCGAACTCCTGACCTTGTGATCTGCCAGCCTCAGCCTCCCAAAGTGCTGGGATTACAGGCGTGAGCCACCGAGCCCAGCCCTGACCTTTCCTCTCTTAACTTCTCCGTCATGGGAGAGTCCTGTGACTTTGTCTCGCAGTTCTTTTTTTTTGTTTTTTTTTTTGAGACGGAGTCTCGCTCTGTCGCCCAGGCTGGAGTGCAGTGGCGCAGTCTCGGCTCACTGCAAGCTCCGCCTCCCGGGTTCACGCCATTCTCCGGCCTCAGCCTCCCGAGTAGCTGGGACTACAGGCGCCCGCCACTGCGCCCGGCTAATTTTTTCTATTTTTAGTAGAGACGGGGTTTCACCATGGTCTCGATCTCCTGACCGTGTGATCCGCCCGCCTCGGCCTTCCAAAGTGCTGGGATTACAGGCGTGAGCCACCACGCCCGGCCAGTCTCGCAGTTCTTTGCATCCTCAGCCAGGACCCCTCTCCTAGTCAGCATGTGGGTCAAGCTTTCATGTCAGCAATCCTGTTACTCATTTGCCAGTTCCCTGCCTTCTCATGAGTCTTCTTGTTGGGACAATTGCCAGGTGTGGTGACCCTCCGGAGGGGCTCTGGTTCCTCTGGTAGGCCCTGGCTTTTCTTGAGCTCTGGTTCCTCCGTCCATTGGGTCCTCTTTGGCTATGTCCTTCAGAAACCTCTTGGCACTTGGTCCACCAGTGGTGTCCTTTGTGTCCCCACAGCTGCAACGGAGCCTTTTTGCATCTTTGCTGTCACATGAAGGATTCGGGGCAGGTCAGAGTGTGGGAGACAGATACAGCATGAATTGAATTGAGACCACCATTGTCTTATAGCCTGGCTTTGTAAAACCTAATGTCATCTGAGCATCTTTTTCCGTTATCCATGACTGTAGTCATGCATCACTTCGTGATACAGCACCTGGCTTAATTTCTAGTGGTAACACATTTGGGTTCTGTGTCTCATGATTTCTAAGCTGCGTGTTTCTCACTTCTACAACACTGAAGCGGGCTGCCCTCATCCACAGCCTGCAGGAGTTTAGTGTGCCTGTGCAACCAACGGTGCTGTTGTTTTATGATTAACGGTGTCTTGGAGTTGATAACTCTCTGAACTCTGCCTGCCCTAGGGCACTTCCCGCCAGCAATCTGAGGGCTCTGAGGCCCCGCGTCCCCGGGGAAGGGGCTGGTTGCGGAGCCCCCTCCCAGGACAGTCGGAGCTGACCACCCACCTCCACATCTTCTGCTGAGGCCCCGGGCTCCAGGTTCCAGAAGGAAGGGACCACACCATATGACCTGCCTGGGACCGGGGCTGACTCTCTGACCCTGAGAGACTTCAGCAGCCTTCCTGCTCCTAAGTGGGGGCTCTAGCCAAGAAAGTGAATTTTTGAGTCGAAGATGGTTTGTGAAGTTATGGTCCATGAAGACTTGTCTCCACGGCTTTGCGACGTTGCTCAGTTGGCTGGGCCTTACCCAGGCAGGAGAGAAACGGCTCAGACTCTTAGGTTCAAATCCAAGCAGCCATTTCCCAGCTCAGCCTGTTAGGTGCGGCCTCCCCCACCTTCTGCCGGGCTCACCTTCAGGTGAGACCCCCGCCACGCCCCGGCTGGCACCACCCTGGCACTCCTGAGGGACGCAGGGGTGTCCGCCCTCATGTCTGTTCCATCCGAGGCCCTGGGATCACAGACAGGGAGGCCGAGGCTGGCCGGGCATCCCAGGAATGGCGCCCGCAAGTCCCAGGAGGCCGTCCGGCCGGCCCAGGGCTCCAGCGCGTTTCCCGCGTCCACGCGGTCCCCGTTCCGCCGGCACTGGCGGCGTCCAGCCTGGGTTTGCCCGCGCTCGGCGACGGGCTGCCTGGCCCAGCTCGACGCCGCTCACCAGCGCTGACCTGGGGGTGGCGTCACCTCCCAGTGCCTCAGTTTCTTCACAGGAAAAACAGGTCTTCTTGAGGACGGGTGTGGAGGGCCCGGGGCAGCCCCGTAGGAGCGTTGGCCGAAGGAGCCCGGCCTGCGGCTGACAGGAACCCTCGGATGCAGGGAAGCGCGTGGCGCCCCCAACCGTCTAGGTGCTGGCCCGATTCGCGCGGCCTCCGCGGACGGGACCCCGCGGGCCGCCTCCTCCGCTCTGTCCGCGGCTCCCGAGAGGGAACATCACCCCCAGAGGCTTCCCTCCTCCGCCCCAGGTCCCCGCGCCCCCGGCCTCACTTCCTGGCGCCCCAGGAACGCGGCCCCCAGGAAAGGACTCGGGGCCCGGGCCCGGGCGGGGAGGCGGGCAGGGGTCCCCAGGGCCCGGAGTCCCCGTTCGCGCTCCTAGCCCGCCCACCACAGCGCCCCACGGCGTCCGCACCCGCCAGGGTCGCGCGGGACCCGCCCCGTGACGCATCTCCAACCGCCCGGAGCCGCGGCCCGGCCAGCGCGCGCCCGACGCCCCGGGGAGCGCGCCTCGTGCACGCGCGCCGCCACGTGACCCCGTGCCGGCCAACGGGTGCGCCGGGATTTGGGGGATAAAGCGCGGCCCCGCGCACAGTTGCGGCGGGAGAGCGGCGGGGCCGAGAGCGTGACTCGCCTGCTCCGTGCTGCTTCCCCCGCGCCGCCTGCCCGCGCCGCCCGCGCAGCCATGTCCGAGGAGAAGCCCAAGGTAAGCGCGGCGCCCCCGCCCGCACGCGCGGCCATCGCGGGCGTCCCGGGCGCCTCCGCCGCCGCGCGCCACTCTCGCGGCCATAGAAGACCGCGGCTTCCACGGGGACCCGCGCCCAGGCCTGCGGCGCCGCCCGCGCTCCCGCCCCTCCCCCGCTCCCGTCCGGCCGCGCCGCTCCCCTCCCCCGCCCGGCGGCGCTCGGCGGCGCGCCCCGCCTCCAGCCCGGCTCCGCCCCCAGTCCGACTCCACCCCCAGTCTGACTCCGCCCCAGCCCGACTCCGCCCCGTGCCCCTGCTCCGCCTCTCCTTGCCCCCTATAGTGCCCTGCCCCTAAGTGGGCCCGCCCAAGACGGGCCCCGCCCCGAAGCGAGCTGTGCGGCGAGCTCCGTCCCCGCCGGGCCTGGCCACGCCCCAGCTCCACGCCCATCTCCTCCCCAGCTGGGAAGGCGCGCGCCTAGCGCCTCCCAGACCTCCGGGTGTCGGGCCCTGCGCTGCTCTTGCCGAGCGCAGCGCCCTCGGATACCGCCCCGGCAGTGTCCCCGAGGCGTCTTTGCGTGATCCTCTCCTGAGTCATTGCTGGGCGGGGTCGCCTTCTCCCCCAGCATCGCCCTGGGTGCCGAGTCCTGTGTCAAGTGCACGGAGTCGGCTCAGGAATAAGCGTCTGGGGTTACCCCCGAGGGGCGCGCTCTGAGGGGCCTAGCCCCTGTGAGCAGCGCTGCCGTCCTTCCAGGGCGCCCATCGCGCCCCCGGTATTCACCCACTTCTGCACACCGCGTCCTGGCCGTCGCGTCCCCCAGTGTGCGCCCACCCCTCTCCTTCCTGTCTCCCCGGTCGTGCCCCCAGTGTGCACCCACCGCCTCTCCATCGCGTCCCCCGGTGTGCGCCTACCCCTCCCCATCGCGTCACCCGGTGTGCGCCTACCCCTCCCCATCGCGTACCCGGGTGGGCGCCCACCCCCCCATCGCGCCGCCCATGGTGTGTGCCCACTCATCCCCATCATGCCCCAAGATGTGCGCCCTCGCCTCCCCATCAGTCTCCCGGTGTGCGTCCACCCCTTCCCATCATGCCCCCCGGTGTGCGCCCACTCCTCCCCATCGCGTCCTTGGTGTACACCCACCCCTCCCTATTGCGTCGCCCTCCCCATCACACCCCCAGTGTGTGCCCACCCCTCCCCGTCGCGTCCCCCGGTGTGCGCCCACCCCTCTCCATCACACCCCCAGTGTGCGCCCACCCCTCCCCATCACACCCCCAGTGTGCACCCAACCCTCCCCATCACACCCCCTATGGTGTGTGCCCACCCCTCCCTGTCACGCCCCTTATGGTGTGTGCCCACCCCTCCCCATCATGTCCCCTGTGTGCGCCCACCTCTCCCCATTGCGCCTCCCCTGCCATGCGCACCCATTCCTCCTTATCCAGCCTTGGGTGTGCTTTAGTTTCCGCCATTGCCACACTGGGGTGTGCATCCTTCCAGTCTCAGTCCTGGGGTATGCACCCTTCATTCAGGTGCACTGGCCACTCCTTCTTGGGAGGGTCCGTAGTCGCGGTCTCCAGTGTTCATAAAAAGAGAACCTTTCGGAAGCCCTTGGTGTGCACTCTTGGTGGCCTCTATGTTACATCCTAGTGGAAGATGACTAGAGCTGAAGGCTCTGTAAGGATGCTGTCTCTGATACTGGCCTGGTCCTGGAGGTGACCACCCTCCCTTTACAGATGAGGGTGGAGGCTCAGTGCCAGACACTGGCGGAAACTGGGATGGAACCGTCCGGAACCATGGTTGCAGCCTCTGGAAGTCTGCACTCTGCTTGCTGTGGTCAGACTCCAAGGAAACCTCCCCTATCCAGATGGCATTTGGAGTGACCTTTGCTTTTTACATTTTGACTCCAGTGAAGTCAAAGTTCTCCCACTCAGGGGTTGTTTGAATATTTAAATACTTGTTAAAACTAGGCCAAATATAAATGTCCTTTCTTTATGTTTTCATAGGTGACTTCCTCTTAATGAAGAGTACATGTAATAAAATATGTATGATACTCATTTTCTCAGCAGTGTTTACACTTAGCTCTGCCATGTGGTCAACCTCAGGCTCCAATTCCGTTGAAAACACTTGTTGAATTCCAGAATGATTGAGTGGCTGCCACCTCACAGGCCCTGCTCCTAGTGGGTCCCCTCTGAGCCCATGTGGGAGCAGCTCTACCCTCTGGGGCTCTGAGGAAGGCGAAGAAGTGGACTCTGGGGCCCAGTGGTGCTGGAAAGAAGAGCTTTTGGGTCAGGCAGGATAATGTTCTGACTTCCCTGGATAGCTGAGGCGGCGGATTGACTAGCAAACTGAGGCCCATGTTTTTAGGGCTTCATTTTTTAACTCACGAGTTCACTTGCTTGTTAGGAATTTACCAGGGTTCTGGGACAGACCGACATTGCTGCTGTCTGTCTGGAGCAGAGGCACTGTGGCTGGCCCTGCCCTGCCCCAGCCTCTCCCGGGGCTGCAGCCATTACCCTGTGGGGACATGTGTGGGCCCTGCATCTGTGCCTTTGAACACACTCATATCTTCCTTCCCTAAAGAAGCCAGTGCATCCTCATGCTTGGGGAAGTGAAGGGGGCTCATGCAGGGGTCCCCACTTCCATCCCGCCTGGAACTGTTTGCATGCTCTTCCTTCCTAGGCCAGTTTTCCCTGCGCTGGAGGCCACATTCGGGATGGGGGGATGGGGGTGTGCCAGCTCACCACTCAGGCTGCTGCCAAGCCACCGGCGTCCCGGGAGTGGGCAAGGGTGTCTGACCCAAGACTGGAGTTGGGGAGTGAGTGCCGGCCCAGGACATGCACCTTCAGGTTCGCAGCTGGAGCCCCTCACTGCCAGGGCCCCTTGCCGGCCACTCTAGCTGCCTTGACAGAGCACCCACCTCCCCAGGGTCTCCAGGAACCAAGCATGGGGCAGTCCCCGCGTTCACCCTCAGGCGAGCCTTCTACATCCCACTCCCTGTATTTAGGCATCGCTGGGACAGTGTCCCTCTCCCAGCCAGGGAAGGTAAGGAGAAGTGGAGAGAAAAGGCATGTAACGTACAGTGCTCCCTGCAGGCAGCAGCTCAGCATGGGCGGAAAGGGTACCAGCATGCTCCAGACTTGACTTTCAGAGTGAGCCGGAGGGCCCTGCCTCATTGCTTCACTCACAAACGACTTTATCCCAGCAGTGCAGGCCGGCCACAACTCCAAATGCATTTTCAGGCAACAAGACACCCCAGTTGTGTCATTGTTGAGTAGCTTCAGGCATGGCATGAATTAAAAAATAAAAAGTCCCACCTACTGCCACTCAGATGGGACTGTTTGAAACTAGAAAGTACTCGGAAGTGGCTTCCCTCACATTTGCTGATGTCAGGGCAGCGAGAAGGAGGCTGGCTGCCTGCTGTGGGAAGTGGCCGTCCTCAGTTGGATTCCAGAAGTCACCACTTGAATGTCCCACAGGGTTTCTCTGAGTCACAAATGTTTTCTTCTGATTTTGGTTTCTTTCATTAATGCTATATAGCTGTGTGAGTTTTGGATATGTGTTTTTACTGATTTCATAAGAGTTTTTTTAAAAAAGAGATGGGGTCTTGCTATGTTGCCCAGGCTGGTCTCAAACTCCTGGGCTCAAGCCATCCTTCCATGTCAGCTTCCCAAAGTGCTGGGATAACAGGTGTGAGCCACCGTGCCCAGCCTACAAGAATAACTTTAAAATAAAGATGGATTTTCTCTGATTTTTCCCTAGACTTACTAAACAGGGTTTTTTCTTTGAATTAACAATGTCAGAGGACCGTAGACTTGCATTGTTTTACACATGGATGCTTAACAACTGGAAGTTAAAAATAAATTCTGTGTACAAATAAAACCATCACGAGTGACTCTGAATTGCTGGAGAATTTTAAGAATTAGGTTGGTTTTAATGACTTTAGAAAGCCAACAGTTACCTAAAGACTTGCCCTTTCAAGTCGCGGTTATTTTGAGATACAGTTTTGAGGCCAGTCTCCGGTGTCTTCTGCAGGAGGGCGTGAAGACAGAGAACGACCACATCAACCTGAAGGTGGCCGGGCAGGACGGCTCCGTGGTGCAGTTCAAGATCAAGAGGCACACGCCACTGAGCAAGCTGATGAAGGCCTACTGCGAGAGGCAGGTGCGGCGCCTCGCTCCCCCACGGGGCTTCCCCGTGTGCGCGCTGGTCCTGTGTGCGCCAGGCATCCCCAGAGCACGAGTGTCAGGGCTGGATCCAGATGTAGCCACTCGAGGTGCCCTCTTCATGGATGGGCAGGCGGGGGCTTGTGCTGTAAACCTGGCCTAGGCTGGGCTTGCTGACTGTGTCCCCCATGGCCTTTTATGAGGTGGAGGGACCTAGAGGCTCAGAGAAATGTGGTGGGTTTTTCTTCCTGATAAGGCCGCTGCCCAGGGTGCTGTGTTCTCCATGGGGTGCTAACATCTGTGAAGTCTGTGACGCTGAAGGCTCTGGGGGGCCCTGCTCAGATCTGGCCATTCTGGGGCTGCAGGTGGCGTGTGCCCCATGCTGCTGTCACCCCATCCTCACGTATGAGCTGGCGTGGCCCTGCAGAAACACTGCCCTCATCTGCAGTGTGGTTTTCCATTTTGTTAGGAAGGGCAAGAAAGCTCGTGATTCATTCCCCTGCTTCCTCAGTTTCAGGATAGTGAGCTGCCTCACTGGCAGTGCCCAGCTGGGTGGATGCCTTCCGGCTGCTGTGTGTGACTTGGTGTGTGTGTGTGTGTTGTTGTTCTTGGTAATGCTGTGGAGGACTCACCCTGGGCCAGGGGGTCCCTCTCTAGGCCACTGCTATGGGCTTTGCCCGCCAGCTGCTGTCTGGCGTGTCGGGGGCCCGGCCCTGCAGCCAGGTGCCCTTCCCCAGGGAGCCCTGCTTGCCTGAGTGGGACCTAGAGGCTGCTTTTCTTCAGCTGCTCTGAAAATACAGCAACTCGTTGCCCTTTTATTTTACTCTCTTGCCTGTGGATTTTCAGTTAGATTTCCTCCTCTTTCCCTCCCACTTTGGATACCCTGCTCATAGGCGCAGTCACTGGTGACCACCTTGCACTCTTTATTGACAAGCAGACCCTCTGACTTCCTTTCTTCTTGTTTGCTGATGGCAGATCTTATTTTCACCTGCGAAAGGTGAGACTGAGCTTCCAGACACGCAGGCTCCGGTCTTCCCAGCAGAGTGAGTGGCCTGGTGCCATGCAGGCCCCACGATCCAGCCTCTGCCTGGTGCTGGACCCTGGCCCTTGTCGGAGTTTGTGCTGCCTGGGCTGGTGGCCACATTCTCCTCTGCACTGCGGGATGGCAGGCGTGTGGGGCCGTGTACATGTGGTGGAGGCTCTGCCCTTCCCCCTGCTCTTGTGGGGCTCCCCTCCTGCCCCACCTGCACTGCTGCTTGTGAGGCTGGCTGCTCAGCCGTGGTCCAGGGCCTCCTGTTCAAATCCTAGAGGTTCTCTCTTGGTGTTTCCTGGATTAGTCCTCCTCCCTTTTGTGTTTTGTGGTGGAGCACATCCTCCAGGGTCTTCTCAGAACAGGCACAGAAGGGTAGCGTCTTTGAGACACTGCATGGCTGAATGTGACTTTTGCTTCTATAAACCTTCACACTTCAGTATGTGGCTGCACGCAGTATTCTTGGTTGAAACTTTTTTTTTTTCTTTCAGAGATCAGCCATGAGAATAGCTCCCAATGTTGAAAGTGAAAAGTTTACCAGGCATGGTAGTTTATGCCTGTAATCCCAGCACTTTGGGAGGCTGATGTGGGAGGATCATCTGAGGTCAGGAGTTCAAGACCAGCCTGGGCAACACAGGGAGACCCTGTCTCTACGAAACATTAAAAAAATTAGCCAGGTGTGGTAGTGCAAGCCTGTAGTCCCAGCTACTCAGGAGGCTGAGGTGGGAGGATTGTTTGAGCCTAGGAGGTGGAGGCTGCAGGGAGCTGAGGTCGTATCAGTGCTGCAGCCTGGGTGACAGAGCAAGACCCTGTCTCAAAGGAAAAAAAAAAAAAAAGTGAGAAGTTCAGTGGATTCTGATTCTCTGTGCTTTGTTTATAACTTGGTTTTTCTCTGGAAGTATCTGGGACTATATTCTGGCATTCCAGTGTTCCCTTATGTGCCTCAGAGGTGTGTGATTTTATCACTCATGCTGCTGGGTACTTTATGGGTCTGGACATTTATTTTTATTCAAGAAATATGCCCTATGTTAGTTCTTTGATAATTTGTGTCCTTCTCCACACTCTGGTCCCTCTTTTTGGAGTTCCTGTTCCTCCTGCTGCTAATTGTCCTAGTTTACATTTGATAATTTTTCTCCCATTTTGCTTTGGGCTTTATTGTTGCTGTTGGTCTCCTTTCTGGGAGGTCATTTCAACTTTATCTTTCCACTTTCTGTGGACATTCTCATCTCTGTCATGATTTTTAATTTCCAAAAGTTCTTTTCTCTTTCTGTTCTTTGAGTGTTCTTTTTTTCTCAGTAGCAGTTTATTTTTTTGAGACAGGGTCTCACTCTGTCCCCCAAGCTGCAGCACAGTGGTGTGATCATGGTTCACTGCAGCCTTGACCCCTGGGGCTCAAGTGATCCACCCACCTCAGCCTCCCGAGTAGGTGGGACTACAGGTACACGCCACCACACCTGGCTAATTTTTTTATTTTGTGTTGATGGGGTCTCCCTGTGTGGTCCAGGTTGGTCTCGAATTCCTGGGCTCAAGCGATCCTCCTGCTTGTGTCTCCCAAAGTGTGGGATTACAGGTGTGAGCCACCATACCCCTCCTCAGTAGCAATTGATTGTTTTCTGAAGGTAGTATTATTTTTTACTTCCCATAGAACTTGAATTGTGAGTGTAGGTGTGTATGGTGTGTATGTCCATATCTTTGTGCATGTGTGTGTACGTGTGGGGGTGTGTGCATGTGTGGGCCTGTGTTGGGAGCGTTCTCCTGCCTCCTTCCTGTCCGTTCTCCTCTGTGCTCCTCCCCTCCTCTCCTCTCCGGGCTGCTGCACAGTGAGCCTTACCCTGACTGCTGTCATGCAGGCTGACTTCTCTGCAAGCATGGAGCGCTGAGAAGCTGGTGAGAAGCCATGTACATGGATGGCTGTGCTGCCAGGGCTGTGTATCCCTGGGGTGACCTGTCTGGATTGCAGGTTCTGGAGGCACCCAGATGCTAAGTTGGAGAGTTGAGTCCTCCAGTCTCCGGCCAGCCTCCTGGGGGCACATCTGGAGGGGAGAGGGGACTTGGCACGCAGCGCTGGGGGCACGCGCTTCCATGGGCCTGTTTTCGTTCTACGCCTGGAGCCCTGCACCCACCTCTTCAGAAAGCAGACCTCCTGTGTGCTGCCGTGGGAGGCACAGGGTTGTGGGGGTCCTGCTGAAGTCTGCATGTGAACTTCCAGGCAGCTGTTCAGAATAGGCTGCCTGCCACACAGGCTGGGGTGTGCCCAGTCCCTCCTTCCCAGGATCCTAATCCAGTGTCCATCAGACCACCAGTGTCCACGCCTCAGTAGCCTCTGGCGCAGCCCAGCATTGACATCTCTGCCCATCCCTGCCGCCATTTTCTTTGTCCTTGCTGTTTGTGCCTTTCTCATTTACATCATTTCAGTGGGGTTTCAGGAGGGAGCAGAGATGCACGTTTTAACGCCGTCTGTCCTGTTTCAGTTGAATCAGAACTGCTTGTTGAGGAAATGTTTCTGCCCTGACCACGTTTCTCCATTCCCTCAGGACACAGAAAGGCTGCGTGCTCTCTTTCCGGCTGCCCTCCACAAGGCCAAAGTCATGGTGGTGACTGCTCCCTGGCCTCACGCAGCCTTCTTATCTGTCCCTCATTGGCACACAACCTGTTCCTTGCTGAGAACTTTGTAAAGGGGGAAGGTGGTGGTGCCAGCATTGTAGAATTTCTACTCGGCTTCTGGAAGGAAATGGGAGGGGTGATCCAGGACAGGTCAGGGCACCAGGACAGAGAAGATTCAGTGTTTGAATTGACCATTCCACATAGCCACTGCACTGAGAAACTTTGATTGAAAAGCTAGCCGCTGGAAGATTAGTATTCACCCGGTGGCTCACTTGCCCTCCCCTGGCACGTCACCAATGCTAGTCCAGCTTTTTTCCTGCTGAGGGATGCATCCTGTCTTCAGAGACCTCCTGGCTGACAGCTGTCTGAGCCAGCATCACTGTGACAGGTTACCCTTCCTCACCTGGGTTTTGTGTGTAAAGAAAGTGGATTTTAGAGGCAGATGAGTTTGAATGTTAGTCTAGGACATCTCTTGTTTTCTCGTGTTTGAATGTTGTGTCTGCTTTCCTTCTGCCATGGACAACTTAGCTATCTGCTTTGAAACTGAACTGACACTGAGTTGGCTTTAAGAAGTTCCCAGTATATAGTGGTGTAACAAAACTCGGGTTGAAAATGAGCTGTTTTAGCCCATCAGAGAGAAGATGGTAGAAAAGTGGGTTCTAAAAGCAGTGGTGTCTAAAAGCACTGCTTGAAAGAGATTGTAGGCCCACTGGTGAGTTTTTAATACTGAACTGGATCATAAATCTGCATATCAGAATGCTGATACTTGGATTAAAATATTTGATTTTTGAATTAAGCTGTATCTGGACATGTTTAATGGCGACTGCTTTTCCTTTTCAGGGTTTGTCAATGAGACAGATTAGATTCAGGTTTGACGGGCAGCCAATTAATGAAACCGACACTCCAGCACAGGTATGGAGCTGGCTTTGCGTGGTTCCAGGGCGACTTCCGATTTGCGTTGGGTAATTGCCATTTGGGATATGCTTATTTGAGAATCGTAGATGGGAGCTCATACAGAATGCCTTCCTTTTTTTCCTTAATGATATTGATTATTAGATTATTTATTTTTCAAATTTTAGATTTAAATTTTCAAATGAGAAAACTGCTTTGCAGACATCATTCTTGCTGTTTGGAGATGGAGTGAGTGCTGGGCCCGTCCTCACTGTAAGGGAAGCGGGGGTGTGAGGACCACTCAGTGGCCCCTTCCTGCCCATCCTCTGGACACTTGCAGTTGTAGCCCATGTGCAGCTCAGGGGCCGACTGGATTCTTGTGCCTTTTAAGTAACTTGCACAAGTGACGTGGGGGCAGAATGTGCCATCACACCTGATCATCCGTCTGCACAGGTTGTTTCTCTCACGTACCTGTCACATGCCGAAATGAATGAGATTTCATATATCATGTCGCAGGGCATCATATTGTCGTGGAAAGAGCTTTGGACTTGGAAACAGATTTTTTTTTTTTTTTTTTGAGATGGAGTCTCGCTCTGTCGCCCAGGCTGGAGTGCAGTGGCGCGAACTCAGCTCACTGCAGGCTCCGCCTCCCGGGTTCCCGCCATTCTCCTGCCTCAGCCTCCGGAGTAGCTGGGACTACAGGCGCCTGCCACCGCGCCCGGCTAATTTTTTTGTACTTTTAATAGAGACGGGGTTTTACCATGTTAGCCAGGATGGTCTTGATCTCCTGATCTCGCCCACCTCAGCCTCCCAAAGTGCTGGGATTACAGGCGTGAGCCACTGCACCTGCCCAAAACAGACTTTTTTAAAAAAACTTGGTTCAAATTGCAGCTCTTATCATTTGTCAGCTGATGGCCCTGTGACCAAGAGTCACTTCATCCTGTGGAGGCTCAGTTTTGTCTGTCTGTAAATGGAGCTTTTTCTCCCTTTCAAAGTTGTGAGAATCCACTGGAATGTTTTATGTGGAAATACTTTTGCAAAACATTTAGTATTTTAAACATTTAATATTCAGTATTTATTAAATATTGAAAACATCTTTGCAATAAGTATCCATTTCTAGCTACTTTATGAAATTTACACACCGCTAAGAAGTGGCAGCTCTGGGAGTGTTCACCAGGGAGAGGCTGCTGAGAGCAGCTGAGTGGGGAGGGCCTTGTGGAGTCTCCAGGACTTGACTGGGAGTCAGGGGGCAGGCTGTGGACAGGGGGACCAAGAGGCAGAGGGAGCCCTGCCTGGGGGCTCTCCCTCCGGCCCGTAGTGTCGGTGGCAGGGTGAAGGTGGCCGACAGCCCTGATGGGACTTCTTTCCATTTGCGAGCATGACTGCTTCCAGCCTTGCTGAGTCTCTGTAGGAACTGGCAGAAGCTTCCTCTTGCTCAGAGGATGGAAGATGATCAGGGTGGGTGTTTTGCACCTGGTGTGTCGGGAGGAGAGAAGTGAGCGGGGGTGTTTCACCACCTTGCCTGGGCTTTGAACGGGGAGGGGCGGGAGAAGCCAGCCGGGGACCCTCACTTGATGGGCCCTTCTGTGAGCTGGGGGCCTTGGCTTTCATGGCGTGGTCCCTCGCACTTGGTATAAAGCGCGTGGCTCCCGCAGGTCCTAGGACTCAGTGCTGCTAATCAGATGTTCTTAAGTAGACTCTGATTTTGTGTAATTTTTCACTAAGAATTTTATACATTTCAGTTTATCTTCTAGACTCAGTTTTTCTCTCAGTTAACATTTTAGCTGTGAATCTGCTTTTGTGAGTTTTGTTAGGGGAAGCTTGCTGAACCGTAAGGGCTGTGGTGAGCACATAGCAATGCCTCTTCCATGCGTGCTGAGCTGCAGTGAGGGGACGGACAGGAGCCAAGGTGGGATCAGGTGATGTCGCTAGTGTCAGGGAGCACTCATGCCAGGGAGGATCTTCCCGCTCTCTGATGAAAACTAACAAGCTCCCCTCTCTCTCGGTGTGCCTGCTGTGACAACCCTGACAGCTGGAGATGGAGGACGAGGACACCATTGATGTGTTCCAGCAGCAGACAGGAGGTGCGCCGGAGAGCAGCCTGGCAGGGCATGGTTTCTAGAGGGCCCGTCCCCAGCCCGGGCCGTCCGTCCTTGCATTGCTGTTGAATGGTGAGCACGTGACCATGCCGACCACAAAGGCGTCTGCGGAAACTCGAGGACATTCACCACAATGATTTTCCTCTCTCTGATGTACTTCAAGTGCAACTCGAAACTATATCTGCAGGGATGAATCTGTAACTTAAATTGGGCCAATCAGAATTGTTATCTTTGTTCAGGTAAAATGAGTTGCAAGGTATTTTGGGTTTTTTTGTGTATTCATTTGTGTTTTTCCCCCCACCTAAAACATTTTTTAACCCCAGAATTATAGCCTGAATGTTCGCTTTTAGTCTGGCCAGGGACCTGACTCCTGAGTTGCTGCCTCTCCCCCGCTCACTCCAGTCACACAGAGAATTGGTGTTTCCCGCAGTGGGGGTGCGGCTCTTGGACAGGTAATGGGGGCAAGGTGGGTAGGGAGGATAGACTGTCACTTGCTGTTATAGGCACAGGTGATTAAAATCCTAAATATTGCAAATGTATGCTTTGTCAGTATATGGAAAAGTTGAAGGGAAAATACTGGAATGCTTCTTCAAAGGTTAAAAAATAACTCGGTCCTTTGGTAATTTGACCCCACGTGCTCTCTGGCCCTCAAGCATGTAATCTCGGGGTCTGAGGCCCAGGACCCACCCCCTGCCATCCCTCCCACCCCACTCCCTGCTCAGTACCTGGCGTTGGTACACAGGCAAGGACTGGCACAACCAAAATTGGCTTTTCTCTTCCTCTTAATATTGAAGAAATTCCCACATTTCTCATTTGGTAATGGTGTTGTGGCCTCAGATTTCTTCCAGTATTTGCTTCTGATGAATAATTATGGTCTATACATAAAAAAGTAAGATTAAGTATTGCTGAATTTGCAGTTACGTTGTCGTGTAAAAGAGCTACTTCCAAGTGTGGTTACAAATGAACCCATGGAATGATGACTTCATGTTCTTCTCGTGGGTTTGTGCCGTGCTGCTTTCCAACTTTCCAAATATGTATTGAATTTATGCATTAGTCTGGTGATTTCAGTTCTGTGAAATATTTTGGGATCTATACCAATTAAACATTTTCATAGTTCTGCCTACTGTCGTTCCCTGAGGCTCCATTGCTGCTTGGTGGCCATTCTCTGCCTTTTTATAGTCACCTGAACCACCACCCATCATCTCTTGCTTGCTTGAAATCTTGCTGAAATGTTCTCATTTCCTGTTTGCTGTATGGGCTCGGGTGGGATGTTCGTTGGCTCTGTTGTGTTTATTCACCAATTTGTACATTATTTGTTGTCCTTTACTACTGTAAACAGTAAATATAGTTTGGTATTCTGTCTCTTGGCTTCTACTAAACACTGCATTTGAAGGTTGGGGCGTACCAGTACAGTTCAGTGTTTGAATTGACGATTCCGCGTGGCCACTGCACGGAGAAACTTTGATTGAAAAGCTAGCGGCTGGAAGGTTAGCATTCACTTAGCGGCTCATTTCCCCTCCCCTGGCACATCAACAATGCTAGTCCAGCCTTTTTCCTGCTGAGGGATGCATCCTCTCCTCAGAGACCTCCTGGCTGACAGCTGTCTGAGCCAGCATCACTGTGACAGATTACCCTTCCTCTCGTGGGTTTCGTATGTAAAGAAAGGGTGGATTTTAGAGGCAGATGAGCTTGGGTGTTAGTCTAGGACATCTCTCGTTTTCTGGTGTTTGAATGTAAGTCGGCTTTCCTTCTGCCATGGACAACTTACCTATCTGCTTTGAAATGGAACTGACATTGATTTGGCTTTAAGAATTTCCTAGTATGCAATGGTGTAACAAAACCCAGGTTGAAGATGAGCTGTTTTAGCCCATCAGTTGAGTGAACCCAAGGTGAAGGAAGACGGGCATCTGTGGAGATGGAATACGTGATTCACTTGCACCAGGAAGAGTGCACGGATTAGGGCACAATACAGAGACGGGGACATCTGCCAGATTCCCTAGGCAGCCTGAGGCGAAGGGGCTGCCAAAATCCACGAGGAAAGGGATGTGTCTCAGGCAACATAGGTTAGATGAGAATAATGGCCAAGAGCATATGTGGATGTATTAGGACAGTGCTGCTTGAACTTCCATCCACAACACCTCACAGCAGAAGAACCAGCAGGATGTTTTAAAAAATTTTTAGAGACGGGGGTCTCACTATATTGCTGTATTAGTGCATCGTCACATTACTATGAAGAACTGCCTGAGACTGCGGTAATTTATAAAGAAAAGAGGTTTAATTGACTCATAGTTTTGTAGGCTGTACAGGAAGCGTGGCTAGGGAGGCCTCAGGAAACTCATGGCAGAAGAGGAAGGAGGCACGTCTTACATGGTTGGAGCAGGAGGGAGAGCAGAGGGAGATGCCACACACTTTTAAACAAGCAGATCTTGTGAGAACTCACCGTGACAACAGCAAGGGGAAAATCTGCCCCCATGACCCAATCACCTCCTGCCAGGCCCCTCCTCCAACACTGGGGATTACAATTCAACCGTAAGGTTTGGGCATGGACACAAATCCAAACTATAAATCAGTTGCCCAAGCTGATCTCAGACTCCTGGCCTCAAGTGATCCTCCTGCCTCAGCCTCTCAAGCAGTTGGGATTACAGGCGTGAGCCACAGCGCCCAGCAAAGGCATGTTCTTGAGGTTGTCTTTTCTCTGAGATTTATGCGAATTGTGCATTTGGAAAAATAGATTTGTTGGGATTACTATTTTCAAGAACATTAATTATGAGAAACTGAATTTTTGGGTTAAATTGATGCTCCTGGAGGAGAGAGGCCCTATTTATCCTGGTATCTATGCCTGGGGTTCCAACTGGAACTTCTCCAGTTTTTGCACCGAAAGGAACCCCCACTCCCAGGAAACTTGTCATCTTAGCCATGCTGCAGGAGTGCCCAGCTGGAAACGTGTGATGTTCACGGGAAAGCCCCACCGTGTGACATGGGTTAAGCTGTGAGGTCCTTTTTACATTTCAGAACTTTAGTTGCTAAAGATAGAAGGCATTAATTTTATTCTGTACAGTTGGCCTCTCCAGGGTGTGCTGCCATGCAGTATTACACACTGGCTGCTCAGAACCCCTGGGACTCCAGTGCCACTTACATCAAGTGAGTTGAGAGTTGCACGAGTTAGCCGATTAAAATACAGGATGCCCAGCTAAACTTGAATTTCACACAAGGAACTGAACGATGACCATGAAAAGAAATGTTGCAGAGAGCCTGGTTCTCTGAAGATAAGGTGGTGTAACAGCCCCGTTGAGGGGAGAGACTGCCATCTTATTTCAGCAACTCGTATTTTGGACTTTTGTCACTTGAAGCCGAAGCTAATCCTGATAGAAGCCGTAAACCACATTTCTGAAAAATAGTAATTGGAGAACATACAGTGTTCTACAGTAAGATGTCTGGAAAAGATTGATAAAATTATGAAAATATCCAGCATATGATGTTATAGTGAGCATCACGGCATTGACAGTAATGCTTTATTGCCCATATTTCCCATAACTGGAAAAGGGGAGCTGCTTTCCTTTAGTAGCACTGGACAGAAACGCCTTGGGGTGTGGGGTGCTGTCTGATTACAGAGAGAGCAGTTTTTTTTTTTTTTTTTTTTTTTTTGAGACGGAGTCTCGCTCTGCCGCCCAGGCTGGAGTGCAGTGGCCGGATCTCAGCTCACTGCAAGCTCCGCCTCCCGGGTTCACGCCATTCTCCTGCCTCAGCCTCCCCAGTAGCTGGGACTACAGGCGCCCGCCACCACGCCCGGCTAGTTTTTTGTATTTTTAGTAGAGACGGGGTTTCACCGTGTTAGCCAGGATGGTCTCAATCTCCTGACCTCGTGATCCGCCCATCTCGGCCTCCCAAAGTGCTGGGATTACAGGCTTGAGCCACCGCGCCCGGCCGAGAGCAGCTCTTGAATGGGGGAGGAAACACCTCCACTGTGACTTTTTGCACATTGCATTTGCACAAATTACTCTCTGAAACAGTCTCAAAGAACAATGTCATTTTTATAAAGCACTGTGGTCATTTGAAAAGATAGAGGCAGACTGAAATTCTGAATTTTAGGGAATTTTCCTACAATATGCATACTTGTGAAGTTTGCATTGTTAAATTTCATTTGATTTGACAAATCCGTATTAAGAGTATATGGTGTCCAGGTACAGAGGCTGCCCCAGAAACAAGACAGAAGTAGGCAGAGAAACTTGGCTCTCATGGAACACGGTTTTGGTTAGAAGCAACAGATAAGGGTAATAAATTTATAGCATGCTAGTAAGTTCTATAGTACGGTGTGTTGGGTAGGAGTTGCAGAGAAAAAGGTATGCGGTGAAGGCCGGGTGGTGATGGTCTAGGCCACACTGAAGAGGCAACATTTGAGCAAAGACTGAAAGAGAGTGGGAAGAGTCGGGGACAAGAGCGGCCAGAAGAAAGTGTTTCCGGGGTAGGAAAAGTCAGGGACTCGGAACGAAGCCAGGGCAGCTGGAGTGGAGTGAGAGGGATGTCGGGAGGGTCTGGGAGGACGGCGGGGGGGCCCAAGGCAGAGCAAAGCACTGCAGGACTTCAGCTTTACTGAGTGAAATGGGCGGAGCAGCGTGTGAATGTGATCAGACTTCTTTTACAGGGATCATCTGCAATGCTGGAAGGGAAAAGACAAATGAAGAGGTTATTGCAACGAACAGCCAGGCAAGAGATGAAAACGTTTTTTGCAAAGGTGTGTGTGTATATAAATCCTTGCACTGGACAGCCACTAAGCACTCGCTGTGAAGTAAGGATGTGGGTTCAAATCGCTCACCTATTCACAGCGGGTCAATCGGGAAAGCACTCCCACTCAGTACAGCCATTACGGGAAAAGGGCTAGCTCTTTACAGGATCCTCAACTGTGGAGAGGCCGGGAGCCCACGCGGGGCGCTGGGGAGTCTCTCAGCACCCCAGGGGCTCGGACAGGGACCCGAGCCGCGCCCTCCCTCCCGGGGGTGCCCTGGGGTCGAGGCTGCCCAGCGGAGCTGGCGGCTGTCTCCCTCGGAGTAGAAGGTGCTGGACACGAACTCCAGCGGAGCCGCACAACACGTGGAGAAAAAGCGCCAGGACAGCCAACCTTCCCACCTTTTCAAACCTGAAAGCCAGCCGGCCGGGGGCGGTTGGAACGTTCAGTGCGGACCCGCGCCTCAGGCGCCTTGTTCCCAGCCCCCGACCGCCCCGCGACCTCCCATCTCGTCTCCGCCCTCCCTCCCCAACCTCCATCCTCCCCCCTACAAACCCCGTCCTCCCGCCCTTTGGCAGCGCGCGGCTGGCACGGAACAGGCAGCGCACACACTAGAACAGGCGCCACCGTTCAGGAAGTCTCTACAAGACCAGGATCCTGAGGCCTCTGTAAGTGCCGGGACCCGAACCAACCACGCAGAGCGACTAACGACGGGGCAGGAGCCGAGCGAACCCGCTGCCGCCCGTTGAACTCCCACCGCCCAGACAGCGCGCTTCCGCGATTGCGCACGCGCGCTGCGCACCACGCCCCGGAAGAGTTCCTAGGCCCGTGACGGTGACCCGGAAGCAGCCCCCGGTGTCGGGGCAGGAGGGACGCGCGCGGCTGAGGCGAGGTCGCTCAGCGCAGCTGTTGAGGGGCCATGGCGGGGACGGCGCTGAAGAGACTGATGGCCGAGTACAAACGTGAGTTCGGGGATCTGGGCGGTCAGCAGCGTCCCGCGTTCCTGCTCCCGGGCCCGCGTCGTCCGGTGGGGCTGGGGCAGAGAGCCTGGCGGGAGAGCCGGACCCGGGGCCTCCATAGTGAACCCCGCTGTGGGTCCCGCGGAGCGCCGCTCTCTGCGCCCGCTGCCCGCCCTCACGCGTGAAGTGAGGAGAAGCCTTCCCAGCGTCAGTAAAGGCAGCGCCGGCGCCGTGTTAGTTGAGAGCACACACAGTTGTGTCTTTGCGGGCTTTCTTTTTTCTCTTTTCCAGTAATTCTTTTCTTGGCAGCCTTGAGAACGGGCAGTGAGAGCTTGGGGAAGAAGGCCTGAATTGCTGCTGAGGAATTGGGGGGAAAAGTGTGTGCGTTAAAAGGGGAAAGACTCGTTGGTGGAGCTTTGGTGAAAGGTCAGATTTTGGCTTTCCCTCCAGTGAAGGAAAAGGGCTTTTGAACAGTGCCACCTGTCACTCCTCCTAGGTAGTGTTGAGAAAACCTCATGAGTGCTTTCCTACCCGGTACGTTAGATATTTCTAATGTCTGAGGAGAGCGAAGGGAGAAATGAGAACCTAGGAGCACTCGGCATTCCATCGTTTTACACCGAATTCCCGCTCGGAAGAACTGCTGCGAGAAGTCTTGGAATGCCATTGTGTTGAAAGCGCCAGAAACCTGACTCGCCGGCGGAGACAAGATAGTAACCGGCTAAGAGCAGGGCCCGAGTTCAGACCCGGCCTCTCAGCTCCTTAGCTCTTTGACCTTGTTCCTCTCTCGCAGTCTCTGCAGTTTCTTTATCTTAAAAGATTAAAGTTGATACTGCCGGTGAAGTGCTTAGCAAAATACCTGATGTGTAAACTCTTAATAAAGTTAGCCGCTGCTTTTGTAATTAGATTGAGGGTAATTTTGGAAGAAAGTTAAAAATAGGCTCACCTAATGAATGTGATAAAACAGAAATAAGTGGTGAATATACATGTAGTTTGATTTCGTATAGCTGTATTGGTGACACTGCACAGTGAGAGTTGATGTTTGGCTTAAGCAGACCAAAACATTGCAAATACAGGTTCACTCAGGTATGGTCATTCATCCCTTGGTATCTGGAGGGGATTGGTTCCAGGCCCACCTGCAGATACGGATGCTCAAGTCTCTACTATAAAGTGGCGTGGTATTTGCATTTAATGCATGCATAGCCTCTCATAACTTTTAAATCATCTCAAGGTTTACTTATAGTACCTAATGCAGTGTAAGTGCTGCGCAAATAGTTATACTGATTTTTTTTTACTTTTATTTTTAAATCGTTATTTTTTTCAAGTATTTTGTATTCCTAGTTGGTCGAATCCATGAATGTGCAGGAGCAGATACGCGGCCTGCTGTAAAAGTTCAAATAACGCTCGCCACCTAGTGTCTGCTAAAGCAGAACGTAGAGGCACACTTACTTTCCCGCGCACTTTGCTTTATTGAGTTTCACTTCGCAGATATTGCATGTTTTACAAGTTTACAAGTTTTTTTACAAGCAACCCTGCATGGGAGCAAGTCTGTTGGCACCATTTTTGCTCACTTCGTGTCTCTGTGTCACATTTTAATCTATTACGGTGATCTATGATCAGTAATCTTTGATGTTACTGTTGTAATTATTTTGGAGCATCACGAACCATGCCCATGAAAGATGGTCGTCCTAATAAATGTTGTGTGTGCTTCACTGACTGGCTGTTTCCCCATCTCTCTCCCGGCCTCTCTCTTCCCTGAGACAAAACAATATTGAATAGGCCAGTAATAACCGTACAGTGGGCTGAAGTGTTCAAGTGAAGAGTTGCACTCCACCCACTTCAAATCAAAAACTAGAAATGATTAAGTTTAGTGAGAAAAGAATGTTGAAAGTCAAGACAGGCTGAAAGCTGGGTCTCTTGCACCAGTTAGCCAAGTTGTGAATGCAAAGGAAAAGTTCTTGAAGGAAATTGAAAGTGTTGCTCTGTTGAACACAATGAATAATAAAGTGAAAAGGCCTTACTGCTTATGTGAAGAAAGTTTTAGTGGTTTGGATAGAAGATCAAACCACTCATAACATTCCCTTAAACTTAAGCCTAATCCAGAGCAAGGCCCTAACTCTTCAGTTTTATGAAGGCTGAGAGCAGTGAGGAAGCTGCAGAAGAAAAATTGGAAGCTAGTAGAGGTTGGTTCATGAGATTGAAGTAAATAACCTGTCTCCATAACATAAAAGCACAGGGTGAAGCAGCAAGTTCTCCAGAAGATCTAGCTAAGATCAAGATGAAAGTGACTCCTAAATTAAGCAATAGATTTACAAGGTACGTAAAATAGCCTTATGCAGTATTGGGAGGAGGAGATGCCATATACAACTTAAACAGCTAGAGAGAAGTCAGTGACTGGCTTCAAAGGACAGGCTGACTCTTGTTAGGGGCTAATGTCGGTCACTTTAAGTTGACTTTGAGTTGAAGCCAGTGCTCATTTATCATTCAGAAAATCTTAGGGCCCTTAAAAATTATGCTAAATCTACTCTGAGCTCTAGGGATGGTACAACAGCCTGGATGACAGCACATCTAAGTACAACATGGTTTACTGAATATAAGCCCACTGTTGAGACCTACTGCTCAGGAAAAAAAAGATTATTTTCAAAATATTATTGCTGACAGTGCACCTGGTCACTCAAGAGCTCTGATGGAGATGTATAAGGAGATAAATGTTTTTATGCCTGCTAACACAACACCCATTCTGCAGCCCATGGATCCAGGAACAATTTTCACTTTTATTTAAGAAATACATTTCATAAGGCCATAGCTGCCATGAAAGGTGATTTCTTTGATGGATCTGGGCAAAGAAAATCAAAAGCCTTCTGGAAAGGATTTATTATCCTAGATGGCATTAAGAACATCTATGATTCATGGGAGGTCACCGTATCAACAACAGGCATTTGAAAAAGTTGATTTCAGTGCTCATGGATGACTTTAAGGGGAGGAGGCAACTGCAGATATGGTGGAAATAGCAAGGGAACTGCAGTTAGAGGTGGAGCATGAAGATGTCACTCAGTTGCTACAATCTCATGATCAAACTTGAACAGATGGGGAGTTGAGTCTTATAGATGAGCAAAGAAGTGATTCTTGAGATGGGATCTACTCCTGGTGAAAATGCTGTGAACATTGTTGAAATGACAACAAAAGATTGAGACTATTCCATAAACTTAGTTGATAAAGCAGCGGCAGGGTTTGAGGGTATTGACTCCAATATTGAGTGAAGTTCCAGTCTGGGTAAAATGCTGTCAGACAACATCACAGACTACAGAGCAATCTTTGGGGAAAGAGTCAGTCCCTGTGGCAAACTTAATTGTCTTATTTTCAGAAACTACCACAGCCACTCCTGCCTTCAGCAACTACCACCCTGATCAGTCAGCAGCCATCAATATCCCGGCAAGACTGCACCGGCAAAAAGATTATGACCTGCTGAAGGCTCAAATGATTGTTAGCATTTTTTAGCAATAAAAATTAAGCATATTTTGGCAAATAATTTTTTTTTTTTGAGACAGGGTCTTGCTCTGTCGCCCAGGCTGGAGTGCAGTGGCACAACCACAGCTCATTGCAAGCCTTGACATCCTAGGCTCAAGCTATCCTCTCACTTAATCCTCCTGAGTAGCTGAGACTACAGGCACGTGCTGCTACACCTGGCTGATTTTTCTGTCTTCATCTTGACCTCCATGTTGTCAGGGTTTGACGAAAGTGACTCCATTTTGATTCTGACAACGTTCATACTAGAACAGAGGATTGGATATGGGGAACTGTTACTTCTGTGTCCTCATGGGAAACCTGGCTGGTGGGTCAAATGTGTAAACACCTACCATTTCTTGGTGTCCTGGTTTGTGTTTGTGTCTCTGTTTTAGTTTTATTTTAGTCCTGTTTCTAGGGTGAGGCTAGACTGTGAGCAGCCATTTTCTCATTTTTATTGAGAAGAAAATCATTAAACCCCTGCATAGGAAATTAAGTTCAGGCTGCTGCTTCAGGCCAGTCTTTGCGTTGTTGAACTTGTATTTTCTAAGGATATTTGCATTAGCAAAGATATGTTCTCCCTTTTACTGTCCTGACAAAAGCTTCATCTGTTATTTCAATTGTCAATTAGTTTGCAGTAATAAAACCTAAATAATGGTTAATTTCCAAAGGTTTGTCACAGAAGTGTATTGTGTGTTTTTACATGTTAACATGAAAGTTTGGACTATGTGTGGAAGGTAGAACTCTAAACATATCTCCCTAAGATTCACATGCCCTAGTTATTCAAGCACTTTCTAGTACTGCGGTGGAGGGCCTTTGGAGATGTAAGTAAGGTTACTAATCAGCTGATTTAAAGAGAGGGAGTTTATTCTGGATTACCCTGGAGGATCCAATAACATAAGGCTCAAAAGCAGGCAATGAAGGCAGGATGGGGGCGGTCAGAGAGATTCGACATATGACAGGATCTCTACCTTTTGTGGCTGGCTGTGAAGATGAAAGGAGCCGTGAGCTGAGGAAGGTGGGCGGCCTCAAGAAGCTGAGAACGACCCCAGGACAACAGCCCTGTGGAACTGAATTCTGTCAGCAACCTCAATGAACTTGGAGTGGCAGCCCTGGTGAGACTCCGAGCAGAGAACTAGCTGGCCCATGCTGTGTCCAGACTTCTGACACTTGGAAACTCTGAGATCATCAATGAGTATTGTTTTAAATCACTAAATTTGTGGTAGTTTGTGTTACAGCAGTGACAGAAGATGAATATAGTATGTTATTGAGGGGACTTTGTTTTTCCTGTATCTTAATAATGTGATAAAATTTAATGTTTATTTTTTGTGTATCATTTAGTGTTTATTTTTTGTGTATCTTAACATCTAGTTTGTCCTCATAACGCATTTTAAGGTAGCACATTCCAGTATAAAGGTGGACTTGACAGAATCAATCTCTACATAGAAGGGGTTTAGATAGATTTGGATAGATGTTCAGGCCCACTTTATTGTATTTGGGAA